GTCTGCTGCCCTAATCAGGTGTCCACTAGCAATTATAAGGCCACACCTAAATGCCATTGCTCATCCGCGACACCTAGTTGGCCGTAGTACAGCTCTCTCACGGGCTTCTCCCGACTCAAGCCTCCTTAATTATACTCCATTAACACCACCACATGATTTGATTAGCTGCACGTCGACGCGTCGTAGTCTATTATTCTCTAACTATCTAACAACCTCTTTGTATGCTTGCGCTTTACTTTGTCCGCTGCCATTCTACCACGAAACCACTCTTAGTTTTTCTTCTGTCGTGCAAACATATCCAGGTATTCAGCATAAGCCGCTCTTCTGCCACACATTTCTAGACCTTTATCTACCCACTACTTGCTGTATTGTCTTAGGCATTTCTTACCTGCAATACTCCAAGTCTCGGGCTAGCAGTCCATGCCTCTATCCAGCTAGGCACTATTACCCTAGCACTCTGGCTGCTGCGGTTAGGTCTCAGGTTCTGATGTCCACAGCAACCTTAATGTACGCATATATTCTATATTCGCGGTCCTTCCGTCCGTGTTTAATTTCAACAGTCTGATCCCATGTTCGACTTTCGTGCAAGGGAGGATCTAAAAGGGCGGTCTATAGAATAGGACGATCAGTGGCCGATAAAGACGGCAACTGTGGTTGAATGAATGAATGAAATGTTTGGCCTAACGCTCCAAGCGTTGTGATAAGCTGTGAACTGGCTGTCCACCTTCGTCCCATATAGTTCTGCTAACATCAGGTCTCTCGCTGCCCAATTCGCGTATAAGACGGAATAACTTCCGATGGTTACAAAGGGCAGCGGCAGTCAGCATTTCCGATGCACGAAGGAATCACAAAACTTCGCGGTCTCTCTTCACGCTAGCATGCAGTTTCGCCCTAAGGTTTTTGCGAGTCTCGTGTTTGCTTCCAGCCGGAGTGTATCGGTGAGAGTCTAAATGTTCCAAACACTGCGTAGAGACCCAATGTTCAGGTTGGCAATTTGATCTGACTCGTCATTAAATGGTCGACGCTCATTGTTTCACCTACGTGAAGTACTGTACTCTAGCAAGTGTTTGCTGACATCATGAGGATAGAGCCTTTGGTTGGTGTTTTAGTAAACAAAAGTCAAGTAAACTGAGTATGCAGACACCGACTCCCAATGTGTGCGATTCCCTGAATTCTCCCCAGTGCCTTGCGGGCGGGCTACTAAGCCAATGGCTCGGGATGATTCCCCTAGGACGATTCCCCACTTCGACCTAGGCAACTGGGTAGTATCACGCCCACTAACAAGACCATGGATACTTCTTCTGATATAAAGCGCTCAAATAGTTTTTTCCGCTAATTTGATACCTTCACACGCTACCACGTCATTCGTTACCAATCACAGTTATCCGTTCGCAGCCGATTCCTGTTTCCATGATTCTACTCCCGATGGTTTCGTCGATGACCACAGAGATTTCCCAGTGGCCATCATTTGTGGTCGGTCCTCTTTCCGTCTGGCATGCTTCAAGTACGCGCAAGCATGCAGATCGGGCAGCAAAATGGTATCGAGAGCACTTTGGATTTCATCGTCATCGATGTTTGCTGTCTTCCCGAAACCAGATTGCAAAATCCCACTACTGTGATTGCGTTGATATCTCTCACCGACCACGGAGCCATACCACAATTACGTTTATCTGGGGACACAGAAGCAGTAGAGACAGGACGGAGTGGCTTTGGTGTAGCACTAAGTACTGAAATCAAGACCGCACTGCTTCGGGGATCATGCAGGATCCAGACATATGAGAGAAGCAAAATGTTTGTGATCTCAACGGACGCTGCAAATGACTGAAGCTGTAACTCTAACAAGGATACAAAGTAAATAACTTCTCTCCAGGTTCAGCATAGCTTCCAAGCTTCCATGAATGATGCACTACGCTGTGACCCACCGTAAAACATTAATGAACACTGGACATTCATGCAGAAAAACATGATCCCTTCCGGATAGTCAGTCTGCGGTCTTACTCAGCACTCTAAGATGGTCTGTATCGACAGGCGCTGGCTGGATCTATTTAACTGTTGCAGGAATAAGCCAGCGGAACCTAACCATGATAAGTTGCGTCGCTCTGTCAACCGGCAATTCAAATAAAACCTACGCAGTGATCGCAAAGCCTGGTGGTCTCATCGGGCTTCGAAAATGAAGGCTGCTACCCTGTCTGGTAATACTCGCGAGCTCTTCCAACTCAACTGATCCAATGGCCACAGGAAACATGGTGTCAATGGGTGTTTGTATAGCTAGTGGTCCGCCGATCGCTAATCTGCGGAGATACTTGGATTGCTGGGTCAAACACTTTCATTCCCAATGCAAGTGGCCATTACTATCCACTTGCACGCCCTGGGAACTCAACTGAACGCCCAGGGTCGTCGCCCTGAATCCACCCAGCGAAGCAGAAGTTTGCCTTGCGATTCGCTTGTTGTAAAGATGCAAGGATGCCGGCTGGTGCGCATTCCTTCCGAAGCTATAAAAGCATGACAGCGCAGTTAACCTTATTGTTCGGCGAAATTTGGGACGAAAGTTCCTTCTTCCTGGTGCGAATCAGCATTTGTCCCGATGTTTAAAAATGTTATGCGCACTTCATGCGCCAATCAAAAGGAAGATTAGCCTCATTTCAGTTACCCTCAAACTATTGGTGTACATTCTAGTTTGTGGACTATCCCCAATACGCGGATCATACTACTGTGAAGAACAAGGTGGTCGGTTCACCGGTAATTGCTTAGTAATCGCGACAGGTGTTCCGTTCTACATACTGGCGAGCCCGAAGTATTCGGGGCTTATTACATTGGTGGTTTTCTGCTCAAAAATGCCACACATGAGAGGCCTCGTCGTAGTTATATCTATAGAACTGAGAAAAAGCAGACCTTGAAGAGAGTTGCTGATGCCTACAAGATGTTCCATATCGTAGGAAGCCTCCTGCCACCTGATCTCGGTGCTCTTTCGACTCCTGTTTACCTCGCATGTGTGCTCGATTATTGAATACGGTCTTCATGTTGGCTATCCTCTTACTAAATTTGAAAGTGGACTAAAAAATTTCAACGGCGTAGGTCGTAATCTGTACCTAAGTTGTGTGACCTATTCTATCCCCTCCGGCTCCTATGATTCAACCTAAAACACCATCTAAGATTTAATTTTTGCCTGACGTAAGCTCAGATGAGAGCTAGGGATGGAGGTGAAGGAAATCTTAACGCTGGAACTTCTACCGTTGGAAACTATTCAAACCGAGGAGGATCCGAGGACGGTCGAATCTTGCCCTATCCACTCGTGTAGTGAGTAACTAGAAGCGTCTGCCGGAGCTTGTCACTGATTCACAAACGGAGTGACTTGAAAAGACCGTTAGATTCTTACCTGCTAAGTATGTCAAGATCTTGTTGTTTCCACTGTGGCTGTGGCTTGGAGCTCGGTTTCGAAATGACCAGAAATTGATGGAGCTGACAAAGGATCTTTATGTTCGTTACTAGCCAATTATCCAACGAAATGAATGCGAGTATAGCGACTCGGCGAATTCATTGTATTGGATAGGGTTTATGGCCACTGATGTGGTCCATTCTGATGAGTTCGTCTACGAAGACGGCAAACCCCACTCGGCATCTTTAGACCGTCCTGTTAAGTTACTGTGTAACAACACGAGGATGCACCCGGATATTTGCAACCAATAGGAAAAAACCTAGCCAAATTAGACGGTCCAAGTTCGAAGAGTTATACAGTGCTATGCCGGTCATTTCTCAAGCGTCAATCGCGAGACTTCAGTATTGTCCAAACGGTGTTGTCACCAGTTTTGAGCGAAAGCTCAGTTGTTTCCACAAGTGGAAGAAGTACGAAAAGGAAAACGAAAAAAAATAATGCCCACGGTATCTTGTTCCATGATAAGACCACAGATTAACGAAGCGATCAACCATTTAAGATATTTGACGAGTATAGTTGCAATTTGTGGCGTGCTGACAGGCCCGCAACGCAGATCGCAGTAATTCGCAATTGTTTGCCATGGACCCGTAACAATCAAAGGGAGCAACAATCAAGTGTATAGAACAAAAATGAGTTGCTTCAGCACGCGTATGAATGAATGCAGTAAACATCGTAAACTTTTGGGTTTTGCACTATTTTATATCCATTATGGAATACCAAACCAATGTGTAAGCAACCACTGGGATCGTCACAAGTGTAGCAGTCTGGAGATTCCCCGGTTTGCCTGTGTAAAATTCTAACTAAAATTATTTCATTGTACACCTAGGCAACCGGTGTGGTTTGTTGAACTGCTTGCTGAGTTCGAATGCTTGCTCGTCGCCATTTTTGTTTGGCGCTCGTTTCGGTTGCAACTCGCAACTGCCCTGTGTGCTGTGTTTGCTCCATTCCCCTAGCTAGAGCGTCCACGGTGTCGTTCTTTTATAGCTAGATAACAGGGAATCTTTTACTGTACCAATAAAAGTTTCCCTGCAACTCGATCCGTCTTCTCGAATCGCTCTCTGGGCTCCCGGTACAGGCAACCCTCTAAACAAGGACCATATTCAACAAGTATGGGCCATGGAATGAATGACACCCAGGGTCCAAAATTTATTTCTCGTCCACTCACTAGGCTTCTGTTTTACTCACAATACACCAATATCAGATGGCATCAAGACAACGGAATCCAGTATATATCGGAAGTCGGAACATGGCAACAATTCGATCTGATTGCTGTGACGAAAAGCAACATAAGTAAGGTTAAAAAGTAGAAGCAATCCATGAGTATCTTTCCGTCAGCCTGCAGCGAGATTAACATGATAGCAATAGGAATGGCAGTGAAATCACGCTGACGATGGTCGAGTGCGAAGTTCTGCTTGGTGAAATCTAAATAAACGAAGATGGAGCTCAACTAAAAACCGATGGTAGGAGAAAAGTTTAGTAAGAATGTGCAAAAACACTTTTTACGAGCACTGTGTTACATGAATAAGATGGACCGAGGCAACGAATGCAAATAAATAAAATACTTACTGGAGAAGAGTCGTCTGAGGCATAGTCCTTGAAGGCTGCAACGGAATCGCTGTCTTCAACGATGATGCATAGTGGCTAAAGTAGGGAGCGACGAATGATGTACATACTTTTCCCACAGCCACGTTCTTGGTGCCTGCCGGGGCCAAGATTTTCGCAAGGTAACCGGATTCACCAGCTTCGAAAGACATTGTGGCTTTATCTGTCTCTATTTCCGCTAGCAATTCCCCTTCGCTTATCTTTCAAAAAAGATGGAACAAGAAAACCTGTTACCTCATCACCTTCTTTCTTGGCCCAACTAACTACGTTTCCTGTTTCCATGGTAGGTGAAAGATTTGGCATCTTTACCAAAGTATGAGAAGGATAGGCTAAAAGCTATGTCAGAAGATGGGGTTGTCTCACAGGAAAAGTAGGCCCTTTGGCCAAGCAGAACATTGCTACGTCTGAAGATCTCACGGAATTCAGCATTACAAATAGAATACAAACGTTTGTTGATGTTCTTAGGCTGCAGTGCACCGCATAAGAAGGGCCTGTATGTTACTGGAACTTGAGGCCTAAAGCAGTGAGACAGAGTACTACGGACAACAAGAGGCACACGAGAACACCGCAGGGACATCTTCCGTTGAAGGTCAACTAAAGGCCAAGTTTAGGGTTAGTTTTGGTGAAGGTCAAGTTACATTGGGACCCAGTAGATAGGATAATAGCACAAATGTTCGTCTGCGTATCGCTGAAGCAGGTGTTGGTAGTATGGTTTTAAAAATTTTTACCTTAAAACCAAAATCGGAGAACACCGTGATCACGCATTTGCAGCCAGCATTTCCTGCCCCCTAGCTTTGCCGGGCCAGTATATCTAAAGTAAGCAAGAGGAGGAATATCAACTATCTGCTGATAGTCTTACGGTATCGGCCATAAATATAGGTGGAAGGAGAATCTCGGTAAGTCCGTCAACATCTAGACCTCTTCGTGAGCTGATGCCTGCCAGTGGAATCTATCCAGGGTGGCTGTGCTCGTGCCTCCTTTCTCCTTGTGACTTAGATGAAGGGAGCAGAGATCTCTGTGGGGTAGGACTTAAATTTATCCCAGGTAACCTGGACAATATCGTCGGCTGAGTTCCCAAGATGGAAACTCGAAGCCTTGGCTCTCATAGGTTGATAAGCTGCTTGCCGGATGTTCGCGCGAGACTCAACAGTACTCTGCAATCGTCCAGACAGGGTACAACCGCAGAGCAAACAAACATGAGCAGTGGAACCAAGTGGTGGACCGTAAGTGATGTCATTAAAACAACCGAGTGAGTTGGAAGGCACGAAGTCTAAGGTAGACGGTACTTGGGTGTCCATGTACCTAGTGGGGAGGTCAATGAAATGATGCAAGAATACTTGGAGCGTAAGCTCAAGCATTTTAGCGCCGAATGTGCCTAACGCTGAGTCGCAAGAAAGATCTGCCCATTACAACACTGGGATTTGGAAGTTGCCCATCACCAAATACTTGTTTTTTGACTGGGAGCAAATAAAGTCAAGTACCTCTTTGGATACGCTCCCAGGTCTTCTACACGCGATTTCAACTGTACCCTGAGCCGAGGATGTCTTAACAACAGTCAACAGAACTTCAAGTGCATTGTCTGCCGACTGCAATAAGCGAGTCTTCAAAAGGTCAAGTTTACAGCTCACATAAAGTGCAACGCACCCATCCTGCCGGCCGGAGGAGAGTTCGCATCTAAATAGTTCGTTGCCATGTAGATGTTCGTCACCAACCAAGCCATGTTTCAGTGAATGTGGGTATATCGCGATAAGACCCAACTACAAGCAGACCTAACTCGTGCTCCTTATCCGTTAGGCCGCGCCTATTACTTAGCACTATCTGTAGGTATTCCTTAGATCCTGACCTGGGTCGTGCGCCACCAGATTTGGCAGTGGCAGGGCGGAAAGAACCGCCGGCTGATCACCGGAAAACCCGCTAACCAACGAGCTTGTTCACCGGCCGCTCGCTTGCTTTTGAGATCCTGGGTGTCCTCGCTTAGCTTCAGTCTATCGGCCAGCGGTAAGTCCGGCTGAACACTAAGACTTGCACCTTTCAGCTTAAAAGCAACCCGCATGATAACCTTGCATTCAGCCGCGGTGGAGAGTACAACAGGAAGTCGCCGCTAGCAAGGGTTTGATGCAGTAACTGAGACGTTCTCCAGTGTAATTAGCTTCCTAACAGTAACGCCTGGAAAACCAGACGCAAGAAGCTACGCTACACACCTTTTGAACCATGCGATCAGCAGGAATGACACCAGTAGATTTAGCCGCGTTGCGGAATATAATGCTACTATCCGTGGAAGGATTGCCGCGACGGGTGTATTAATCCCACGGTTCTTTGATTCGACAGTTGGAGGTGTAAGCAACACTTAAGGGATGCTTTGCTCATTTTCGAGGAAGGGTTAGCAGATGAAGGTTCTGAGCATCCACAAATATCCTTCGTATATGTGAACAGGCGCTGCGGTTCGAACATGCCAATTCCAGTATTTTTGCATGATGAAGGTACTCACACACATAAGGACTATAACAAAGCCTGTGCAGTTATTGGGCCGCGTTAGTAAGGGAAACCACTTTGACTGACGTCATGCTGGTTTGCAGGACCCCAGAGCGTTCGGAACTAGCAGAAGTTCTCGTAGCGGAGACGGAAGTTAATAGGCTGTTACAAGAACTGCACCCTTCTAAGGCCTCTGGGCCTGATTTAAATCACTCGAATCCGTTGCATAAGTCGGATGCGGAACTGTGGACTGGTCGCTGTGGTGTTTGAGAGATCGCTTGACAGCTGTGCAATGCCTTCCGAATGGAAGGAAACTGTCATCTCTCACATCTTCAGAAATGGGTACAGAAGTCTGCCCACAAAATACAGGTCAGTTATTCTGACAAGCGTATTGGTCAAACTCCGCCAGAAACTGTGGAGTGATTCATTGGAGAATCATTTGAGTAAATTTAATCTACTTAACAATGTACAACACGAATTCCGAAAGGGTTTTTCGCGTCTGACAAAGCTACTGGTAGCTCGCGAAAGTTGGGCGGATGAGCTGGATAACGGGCACCCACTGGCGTTGCTTTTCGAAGGCATTTGACAAGGTGCCTCATCTGAGGTTTGCACAGAAGCTGACCCCTTACGAGGCATCTGGCCGCGCCCTTCAATTGGTTACTGCCCACTTGGAGGGTAGAGAACAGTGTGTATGGGTAGGCCGTGGCCTAGCATTTAGGCAGTCTGTCCTCAGCGGCGTGCCGGATGGTTTGGTCCTTGGACTGTTGCTGTTCTCTACCTACGTGAATGACCTACCGGCGGAGCCTTAGGTACCAGCGCTGATATTTGCTGCTGTCCTGACACTGTGGAACATGGCCGATGTTCCTGTGGTTCCAAAGCAATTCAGCGAGCATTGGCTAAGCTTTGGGACTGGTCTGCTTTATAGTTACTGCCCATAAATCGGGTGAATTGTTCCGTTCTTCGCACTGGAAGAGGTTGTCCACCTACGAAGTACTTGGTCGGTGGGGTCGAACTCCCCCATGTATCTAGCCAGGTTGGCCTCTGCGCCGTTTACTCTACGGCTTTACACTCCGGCGACAACTGGAAGAACACCGCAGGCAGAGGTTTCCGCATGTTGTGCTTACTACGACGTTATTGCGGAGTCTGGACGGGCGGCACACTTACGAGACGGTGTACGCCTTTCCTTCGTCCTCAGCTGCAATACTTCGCCTAGGCTTGTCCACCCTGCCTCGTCCGGGACAAATGGAGCTGGAGAAGGTCTTACGGGTGAGTACTAGGCTATTCTAGGGTTACGTGGACGGATTTGTCCCGAGCGTCTACTTAATTTGGGAATGCATTCATTGCAATACCGAAGGCTTAGAGGAGACCTAATCCTAACCTACCGTACCTTAACTGGAAAGGTTGGTTTAGCATTAGCTTGGCTATTCCGTCCCGCTAGGTTGTCTGTTCTACTTGGGCATAGCTTTATGCTGGAGAAACAGCGGTCGGATCGGATTAGGGCGGAACTCCGGCTATCACGCAGAGTCATGGTGCGCTGGAACATGCTTCCAGAAACGGTTCTACATTAATCGACGAGTAAGGGTTTGAGTGGCAACTTGACGGTCCTGGGTGGCAACCCCAAACCTTTCGCTTTTCCTGTCTGACTTGCAGCTTCGTACTTTGACTTCCTTATCTCTACCTTTTTCATGCATTGGTATTCTTTTCTTATTGCAAGTGCAATTCCTTATTCTGTACCTTCGAGTTCTCTTGCTTACTTTACGCGACTGACAGAGCAAGGTATGCTAGGGCAGGAAACGTTGACACTTACTGGTTCGCCTAGGTGCTATACGGGTGTTACGTTTTAGATCCAGCAATAACTGAGCACTTCATCAATTCCTGGCTCCACGTTTCACTCAAGATGCAACAGTTACTGGATTCTCCTATCTTTCCAGTCCCACCAGAGGTTGCACCTGAACTTGAATATCAACTATCTGATGATACTGGTGGTTTTGTGCCCTCATTTGCAAAACACTAACGTGGCCAACAACGGTAGTTTACCTTGCCATTGTCTATTTCTTCCAGGTGGCTACATCCTCACAATCAAGAAAAGAAATATCTGTAACCCTCAACACTACCGAGGCACAATCTAAAACAATTGCAAACTACCGAGAACAACATGACAATGCCGTAAGACCACGAGGAAAGCACGGAAAAGCAAATCATAATGCCTTTGCAAAAGCCAATGTAATCCCTGAATACCAAGGCATGATAGCAACCGAAAAATAACAGGAGAATGCAGAAGCTACAAGTCGGTAACTTCAATAACTTTTGGTACTGTTGCCCAAGAGCAGCTAGGCGAAACAAAAACTCTGCAACATCATATCCCTTAACAGCGTGTTTCGGAAGCGTTGCAACGTCTAATAACTCGGCGAGACAAAAGAGCTTCCGTCCTAACCCGGTTCACATGCACAATAACCACCTCGTGACAGATGCGGGATAGTGGACGCTCATGAGACAACAAGGACATCACGACTTGGAGGAGCTTGGATGACTGAGAGCTTAAAGGACACGGTTTCACCCCACTTTCGATGAGGTTGAGCTGGGGCTTAATACTGTCTCTTCCTTTCGTCAGGACATCCGGCAACATCACGTGTGTCTAAGGTAGTTAATAAAAATGATGGAGAATTTCTCCGCGTTCTCAAACAAGCCCCGTGTCTCAAATGAGTAACGTTCTTTGCGCCAAGATATACCACCACAGAAGAATCTGTGAGTACGAAGATGGGCTTTGCTGAGTTACGAATACGATGTGCAAGACGCGAAACCTAGCTCCATCTCGTGGATGTACATATAGAGCGTAAGTTTTCGAGGGTTCAGTAGTGGCCGACCTTCATCGATCCTGGCCTGTAAGTTTAAAACAGGGAATAGTTTATTATCTGTCACCATGAGTAGCCTAATGGACGAATTCGATGAGCTTCAGTTTATCGTTTCGCGGACTCACCCGGCCCTGGTTGTTTTCACGGAACCGTGGCTACCTTCAGCGAGGTTAGACACAGTATTCCACAATCCAGGGTGACATTTCCCTCAACCTGCTCGCTGTAGCACAAGGCCTAAGGCAGGGTGGTTCTC